TATGAGCATCTTAAATATGAGCATCTTAAATATGAGCATCTTAAATATGAGCATCCAACAAGTCGTATGTAATACCATCAAAACATGGGTTGCAAAGTTAAGTGGTACCAGAATTACCATGAACAGGCGCATTCTAGCTCTATTTAACAATATCAAGAGACATAATCTGTGCAGAACACGGCGTTCGACGTTGAACAAAATAACATCTATGCTCACTGTCGTCACAGGAGGGAAATGCCAGATGACCCCCCAGGACAAACTATGGCAATGTGAAACTAAAACACAGATGATGTGGAGTTGCTGGTGTTGAACTGGAGCGAACAAGGTCAGAAGTCACAAGATCACAGGTTATAGTGCAACAGATTTATTTGAAATCTCAATCTTTTGGAGCATTGCTACTTCACCTGAACGCCCAGCCCACTTCATCTGACAAAGGAGCAGCGCTCTGAAAGGTTGAAATTTTAAATAAACCTGTTGGACTATAACCTGGTGTCATGTGACTTCTAACCTAAAACAGGGATATTATACACATCCATTTACTTCTTAGAACCGACAAGCAGGAACTCAATTCCAACACAAACCCATGCTCACATCACAGCATTTCTTTCAAATGAAAGGGAACCTCAGACCGGTAGATTAATAGAGTCCCTTGGCTACTGGAATTAAATTTGTTCAAACTAATTGACAATCGACAATTATCCTGGAGAAGGTAGTGGTGATTTCTCTTCTCGAACCACTACTCTCCTGGAGCTGTATGGACATCGAACACGGTAAGGAAGAAAGTGCAGGACTTTGACTCAGCAATGGTGAAGCAACAAGTGATTATAGTCCCAAGCCAGGATGGTGTGTACCTTGAAGAGGAACCTGCAAGTGGCAGTGCTCCCATGTACCTGTTGCCCTAGACCTTCTAGTTAGTAAACATCATGATTTTGAAAAGTGCTGTCATGCGTGCATGATGCAGACTGTCTTGTAGGTGATACACACTGTTGTGAATGTGTCGCTTGTGAAGGGAGTAAAAGTTGAAGGTGTTATACAATACACCAAACAAGGAGTTTTTCACTGGATGGTGTCAGGTTTGGGGTGTTATCAGAGCTGCATTCATTTAGGAAAGGAGTGTATTCAATCACATTCCTGACTTGTGCATTGTAAATCATGGACAGACTTGGGGAGGTCAATCAATCAATCAACAATCCCTCGCAGACGAGGATGACTCTTCCACTCTCCGAGCGAGTCTGCAGATGGCTGCACAGACTCATACAGCTACCACAGGCTCTGTTACACTTGGTGCAGGTGGTGGTCACGGGAACAGGTGGTTGGGGCATTGGCATGGCAGTGCGCTCCCTTTGTTATCATCGCCTGGCTTCCATTTTTTCCCTCCAAAAGGTAAGTCTCAAGATGCTTAACGCGTTCCCGGACACTGCTCCTCCACTTTGGATGGTCCAGGGCCAGTGATTTCCAGGCGTCTGTGGGAATGCTGCACTTCGCCATTGAGGCCTTGATGGTATCGCTGAAGTGCATCCTCTGTCCGCCTGGGGTTCGCCCCCATTTCCAAGCCGGGAGTAGAGCACCTGCTTGGGCAGTCTCCAGTCAGTCATGCAGACAACATGCCCAGAGCATTGCAGTGGATCGAGGATGGTCAATGCCTCAATGCTGGGAACGTTGGCCTGGTCGAGGACACTGGTGTTGGCGCATCTTTCTTCCCAATGGATTCACAAGACCTTGCACGGACAGCATTGGTGGTACTGCTCCAGTGCCTTGGGGTGTCTGCTGTAGACAGTCCACGTCTAACAGCCATATAGGAAGGCAAGGACCACCACAGGTTTGTGATGCCGGATCTGATGTTCTTGTTCTCAAAGACCCCTTTCTTCAGGTGGTCAAAGGCTGCGCTAGCATACTGGAGGCAATGCTGAATCTCTTCATCTTTGGCCAATAGGACACTTCCGAGGTATTGGAACTGGTCAATGTTCTTCAAGGTCTCCCCAGGGAACTTGGTCATCTCGGGTTTGCCCCATAATGCCAGGCCAAGTTGATGGTCGACCTTCATCTTGCAAATGCTCAGGGTGAGACCCACGCTCGCATATGCCTCCATAAAGCTACTGATGATGGTCTGAAGTACATCCTCCAAGATTTCCCTTTGGAGCAGTAGGAGGCAAGTTACACACAACATAGCTTGCAGTCTCTGATCTGGGTCTTGAGACCACCATATTTAGAGTTGGTGGTGTTTTAGATTTAGCACTCATTTGTCAATATTGAATTTCAGGACAGGATTTTCAGATTATCATGTTCATATCTAGCTCCACATCAGATACATCTGTTCTAATCTCACTTTCATTTTCAATCCCCACCTGACAAAAATATTTTTCAAAATGTTTAAGTCTAAATCAATGGCCATTTATTCGTTTCATACACATTTCACTTAAGAACTTCCTCCCCCTTTTATGCACTTTTTTTTAATCGCAAGTCTGAAACGAACTTTTGCAAACTCTTTAAATTCCTAGTAGGCATTAGTGGAGCTCACCAAATAGCCCTCAAACAGCCATAGTAGTCAATTGTTCACAATTAAGACAAACTATTAGAAGTGGAAAGTTCATGCTACAAATTATCATTTTGTACTGAAGCAAAGTTGACTGCCAGCTGATACCAAGTGACCAGAATTTCAATCCCAAAATTGAGACATTTTCAATTAGAAGGGAACCACTCAAAAACAAAATCAAAAACCTATCAAAAGCAAAACAGATCATTAAAATACATAGGGACTTCACTTTTAAGATGGTCTTACATCTAACTTTTGAGTTAATAAGCAAATTAAAAGTTTAATGAGAACAATGTTGTGAACCATCTTAATTGATACTTACAAATCGCTTTGCTTGAAATGGTCCAATACTGCAAAAGATCATGTCCAAACAACGAGGCAGAAGGCCTCCGTCTCCAGGAGATCCAGTCATTGTGTGCGTTTTCCCACTTCCAGTAACACCATAAGTAAACAGCAAACCTGACAGACAGCGGACATCCATTTCAGGTACAGCAACACTCTTGCTTCCTTGCCCAAATACAATTACACTGGACAAGTAATTACCCCACATTATGGTATCACTAATAAACTTACGGTGTTAGCTATTTGTTGCTATTGTACAGCAGGGCTGTAAAATGTCATGAAACTAAATAAAGATAAAACCAAATAAAGTCACAACAGTCATGCCCTCATGTACACTTTCCATTGGATCCTAATGGCTTGAACTCTGGTTCATTAGCATCAGATAGATCATGTTAGGTACTGAGTTAAATCACTGAGAGGTTCAGAAATACTGAATCAGATATAACAGTGGAGTAATTCTTAATACAAATGACAAAGACATTTTTTGTCCCTGAGTTAGAAAGCATCTCTCTTTGTTTTGCATTGCCCAATTAAGTTTTAGCATACCATTTTTGCCATGAATCAGATCTTCCACAAGGGGTCGTGCGACAACATTGAATAGTTCCTTCTGGGTTGTAAAGGCTCCAAACACTTCTTTAAAAGAGTACTGCATCTAAAAATCCAAAATTAGTGAATTCAACATCACACAGTAATTTTACCAATGAAAAAAAAGGACTATTGTCAAAAAAAAGTCTCATATTTCCGTTTACCTCTTTGAATTCACCATTCCTGTTGACTTTAATCCCATCAGGAGGATGGAGCTGTATTGTAGTATTACTGATAAGTTCAACACAACATTCAGTATCTTCAGAGGTCAGTGGTCTGACCCGACAATAAACCTGATAAAATCATCAATGCTTAGGATCAGTCCTTTTAAACAAAGTTGTCAAAACAAACTCAAAATCAAGTGGCTTAAAAAAATGGAATCATGAAATGTGACCCCAAAATAATTGTAGCAATTCAGAATTCCATTTAATGATAATTATCATCATTCACAGCAAACTAGCAGGCCTTGAAATGCCACAACGGATGAAAAATGTGTTGAATCAAATGGAGACTTGTGAAATTGGCAAATGTATTACAATGTTAGTTTTCAGTTAATTTCTTAAACTCTTACCAGCTCTGGTAGCATTCATTTCCAATTACATTAAATGAAATATGACTTGGATAGACCCATCAAGCATTGCAACAAATAAAATACAAAAAAGGCTTTGTTGACACTTACACCGACTGGGTCTTTGAGGTTGTTTGATGGTTTCTTTACTGGTCTTCGGGGAGTCTGGAGCCTCCTGTACACATTAGAAAATGAACTGAAATTGGAATCACATTAAAGGAGTTGACTACAAATTATTTTATATCAAGGACTAACTAAGTTGAAATACTGATTGCGTCAGGGTGGTGAACTTAAGAATCCCTGATCAAAAATTAACGTAGGTTGTTGGACACCAGTGTTGGGATGGTAGTGCCTTTAGGCAGCTGGATCTGTGACTGAGCAATCCACCCCAAGATCTCAGTTGGAGTGAGCAGAGGGTATGAGGCTAGAAAAGATCTCATTGAAAAAAGACAAATTTTCCCATTTTCTTCTGGTTGGGCAACCACATGTGCAGGATTACCACCTTCACAAACAGAGAAAACACTAAAGTTTTGCAATTTGGAATGTCAGACAGACATTCATAATTAATCCAGAGAGAATGATTGCCTGGAAAGAACAGCAAATACATGATATGAACTATCAAGACTCTCAGAGTTGTTACTGAACTGGAGGGCATTGGACCAAACTGACATTGCTATCCTCAGCCAGACCCACCTTTCTGGGGCAGCGGGGGAAACAGCTGAAGGAACACACACAGGTTACACCTTCTACTAGGTAGGAGAAACTGACAATGACACTCACATCCATGGAATTTATCTTTGCTGTATAGACTGGATCTTGAATGCATATCCAGATCTGCCCAACTATGTAAGTGAAAGGCTCTTGACCCTAGACTTCCAACACAACTATGATAACTTCTGATGTCTCTGGCATATTTGTGTCCTGTTCCTTAACCTCTTCACCTGAGTCAAGGACATGTTCTACTATGCCCTTAACGAAGTGTTGATAGCAATCTGAACAAAAGACAAGATCATCCTTTTAGGGGATGAATAACTCCTCAATCAGGAATCCACAGTGACAGCTGACACTCTCTCGGTTATCCCCAAGAATGCTGTGGCAGTGTACATTGATGGATCTCCATTCATGGGTGAGCTGGAGAAAGCAATTAAACAGTTGAGAATCAAAGCCTGCAGCCCTGATGGTATTCTAGCTAAGGTCTTCAAAGCTGCTGAGGTTTTGCTCACCAAGACTTGAATGCGCTGATCTTTCATAATTAGAAAGAAAACAATTTCAAGAATGACACAATTGTAACAACAAGAGAGATAACTCATGCTAAGAAAACTATCAAAGTATCTCCTTCTTGTCAAAAGAAAGGAAGATCCTAACAACAGTCCTCCTGAATCACTGTTTCCTGTGGCTGAGAAAATTCTCCCATGAGACTCTGTGGCAGTTGACCTTCCAGAGGAACTGTTGAGAAGGTCTTTGCTGCCAGGCAAACCTATGAAAAATGCCAGGAATTTTCCACTTTATTAATCAGACAGATCTAAGTATTTGTTTCAGTAAACTTTGACATTCTGTAGATTGTTCTACAGAGTTTCAGATAGCCAAGAAATTTCATCATAATCCTCTGCTCATCTGATAACTAATTTGCAAGCTACCCTCAATCTTTTCAATTTTGAACACAAGAGACACAGCGTAACCTTGAATGCTGCCAAAACAAAACTCCGTATCATCTAGACCTGATCAAAACACACATTCCACAACCCATCTGTTGAAGGGAAGACTCTGGAACATTTTGATTACTTCCCATTCTTTGACAGTCACCTCTCTAATTATGCCATCATTAATGAGTAGATTCAACACTAGATCAACTGCACCCGTTCATCTTTCTTCAACTACTGTAATTGAGTATGAGGCAAAGATCTCTGAAAGTCATAAAACATCCTGATGTACAGGGTAGTTGTCACTACCACACTCTTGTCACTGATACACAGTTGCTGCAGTACAAGAAATTCTGCCTGAAATGCGTCCACCATATTCTTGAATTCAACGGGAAGATCGTCAGACAAAAGCTATAGTCCTTTGTGAAGCCAGCTTAATAAGCATTCAGGCAAAACTCCAGCAAAACCATTTGCAATGGACTGGGCTTGCACCCGAATGGCAAAAAAAGTACAGCACCCCACATCCCTTTTTTGAAAGTACTGCACAGTAACATTGACATTAATGACTGAGAGGAATTACCAATCTTTCAAAATGGCAACAATTGTCCACTAAGCAACAACATAACTTCAGTCCAAGAGACTTAAAATAGTGAGGCAGAGAAGGAAAGAAAAGAAAGCAAATCTTGCCTTCCAGATCTCACTACCTTCTGGATGTCCTGCCCCATGCATCAAAAATAACACAGGCAAGAATTAGCTAGTGCAGTCACATGAAAATTGATGGCAGAAACTTGCAATCCAGAGGGACCATCATCCTCAAATCAAGGGACAGCCATTATTAATATTACACATCATTTCCATAGGACACAAGAATAGAAGTAGGCCATTCAGCCTATTGTGTCTGCTCCACCGTTCAATAGGATGCGGCTGATCTGATCATTCTCAATTTCACTTTCCTGCCTTTTCCTCATAATCCTTGATTCCCTTACTGAAAATCTTTCTACTTCAACCTTAAATATGCTTACTGACCCAGCCTAGATAGCTCTCTGTGTTTACAAAATTCCACAGATTCAATTATTCTCAAAAAATGTCCTCCTCATCTTTGTCCTAACTGGCAACCCTTACTGAGATGATGCCCTCTTGTCCTAGACGCTCCCACAAGTTGAAACAATCTCAGGATCAAGGTTTTACAATGCAGGATGCCATTCAGCCCATCATGCCTATGCAGGCTCATTAAACAAGCATCATTACTGAGTGCAAATGCCTCGCTTTACACCATACTCTTGAACATTATTTTATCTAAATAATCAGTCAATGCTCTCTTAAATGCAATTGAGCCTGCCTCCACCACGCTTCCAGATACTAACTACTCATTGAGTGAAAAAAAAGTTTTTCCTCACTTCACTCTTCCTTCTTTTGCAGATCACTTTCAAAGTCTGCCCTCTCGTTAGTGCTCCTTTTACAAGTGGAAAGTTTCTCTTCATCTATTGTATCCAGCATCCCCTCATGACTTTGTAAACCTCTATTAGATCTCCTCTTAGTCATCTTCTCTCCGAGGAGAACAGTTCCAACTTCTTCAAATCTATCCTCATAACTGAAGTTCCCTACAACTGGAACCATTCTTGTGAAAGCTTCTGCACTCTCTTTCTCGGAATATGGCACCCAGAAATGTAGTTGGTTCTGCTATAACACAATTGTTATATTCCTGTATAACATCACATTAAAGAAATAACGAACTATGGGAAAAGTGGGGTGAGGGGCAGACCGCCAAAAAAAAAACACAAACACTCAAAAGACAGCAGAATTTGAATAAATGTTTAATTCATACCTAAAAACGAAATGAAAGTAAAATTTAAAACTTTACCTGGAAAAAATGTCAAGGTGACTTCATGGGAGAGGCCTGTACCTCTCACAGAAAGCACTTCATGACAAAACCCGCGAAATAATCACGTGTTGCCAGTGAAGAGGCTCTCTTGGCACTAACATTGTACGTTTCACGGGCTTTTGCTGTGAATACGATCATGTGATGTCGACGCATACTCCTAAAACGCACTGATGGAACTGCATTATAGCCAACACAACTTTGCATTTTATAAATAGCATGGTCCTATTTATCAATCGCGTTACACCCAATTCACGTTGACAGAACACGCATTATAGCAGAACTGACAGTATACAATTCTCCAGCTGAGGTTTAACAAGCGTCTTACACAAGTTCAACATCACTTCCTCGCATCACCTCTCCACATCTACTTTGCCAAGCTCCTTAAGAATCTTTGTTTCAATAAGCTCTTCTCTCAACAATTTTAGCCTCTCATCCACCCCAACTTGTATACCCTGCCATCAGCAAACGTATCTTGAGCCTCTATTTGTTCTAAATTCCAATGAGTACAGGCCCATCGTACTCAACCACTCCTCAAAAGACAGCCCTTTCATACCCTGGATCAGCCTCACGAACCTTTTCTGGACTGCTCTAAATCTTTCCTTGAATAGGGGCCCAAAACTGTTCACAGGTGAGTCTAACTAGTGCCTTGTATAGTTTCAGCAAAAATTCCCTATTTTAATACCCCATTCATAGAGACATAGAGATATACAACATGGAAATAGACCCTTTAGTCCAACTCGTCCATGCCTATATAAATCTAGTCCCATTTGCCCGTATCTGGCCCATATCCCTCTAAACCCTTCCTATTCATATACCCATCCAGATGTCTTTTAAATGTTGTAATTGTACCACCCTTCACCAATTTCTCTGGCAGCTCATTCCATATATACACTACCCTCTGTGTGAAAAGGTTGCCCCTTAGGTCTCTTTTATATTTTTCCCATCTCACCTTAAACCTATGCCCTCTAGTTTTGGACTTCTCAACCCTAGAGAAAAGACCTTGTCTATTTAACCTTACCATGCCCATGATTTTATAAACCTCTGTAAGGCCACCCTTCAGCCTCTGACACTCCAGGGAAAATAGCCCCCTTAGAAATGAAGGCCAACATTCCATTCGCTTTCCCCATGACCAATTGAACTTTGTGATTTATGGAAAAATACCCCCGAGTTCTTGTGTGCATAGCTTTCTGCAGTCTTTCTCTATTTAAAATAATTTAATATTCAACTCCTCTATTCATCTGGTCAAAGTGACAACCTCACATTTTCCTACATTTCATTCCATATGCCATGTTTTTGTCCACTTGTTTTTGTATATACTTCTGCAATCTGTCATCCTCACTGCCTGCCTTCCCGCCTATTTTTGTACCATCCGCAAACTTGGCTGGGCACCTTCCCTTTCCACAAAGTTATTAATATAAAGTGGCAAATAATTGAGGCGCTAGCATTCTGAAAATAGCCCCCATATCTCTGTCTTCTACTAGTTAGCCAATCCTCTATTCATGCTCATGTATTACCTCCAACACAATGAGATGTTATCTTAAGGACCACACATTAGGCTACCTTATCAAATATCTTCTGAAAATCCAAATATATTACATCCACTGCTTCCCTCTTATCTAACCTGTTTGTTACCCCTTCAATTAATTCTGTATTTTTATTATTTAACCTATATTTCTAATCAACCTGTTCAGAGATGTTTATACACATCTGGAGCAGGTGGGACTTAAACCTTGGCCTCCTGGACCAGGGGTAGGGGCATCACAATTGCACCACTAGAGGCACCAAATTCTAATAAATATATCAAATTAATCGGAATGATTTCCCCTTCATGAAGCCATGTGGACTCTAATTATATTATGCATTTCTAAATGATCTGCTATTACATTCCTCATAACAGACTCTACCATTTTCTTAATAACATTTTACAAAAGTGAACATTTAAAAGTAGGATCAAGTTATGGATAGGGAAAATACAGGTAATTTCTTGCATTGTAAGGATTAGTGAGCTACCCAAATAAAACATTTAATTTAGCTGGAGGTCGAACAAAATTCAACTACATTGAAGAACTTCAATTATTTGTCTCTGAAGAAGATTCTGAAGAAGATTCTATAAGGAAGCATTTATTGCAAGGCAGATAAATAGATTCAGATGACATATTGAATTATCAGACCAGGTTGTTTTTAGCATGCTCCTAACATTATCAAAAATCATATGGCATATTATGCACCAGCATTCATTCAATTCAAATTCAGCAACATTCATAACATACAGACACACAGGTTTCAATGGCATATTGTTCCTAGATGTTTGCTTGTAGAGGCACCATATAGTTATGGAAATAAGTTTCACATCCTTCAGCAGCTTATAGGAATTCAGCATGAGTTTGTAATTGACTTTAGACAACAAGCCCATCAATTCAATTTCAGACCCCAGTTTTCAGACTTTTAATAACATATCAACACACCCGATTCCATATTCTACTGAAAATAGCTCAATATCAAGGGTTAGAGATAGTAGGAACTGCAGATGCTGGAGAATCCGAGACAACAAGGTGCAGGGCTGGATGAACACAGCAGGCCAAGCAGCATCATAGGAGCAGAGAGGCTGACGTTTCGGGCCTAGACCCTTCATCAGAAATATCAAGGGTTATGTTGGTTTTCATGTAGAAAATAGGGCAAGTGTGTTAAAGCCTTAATTCTCACTTTGCACTCATTCCAAGTGGCAATTCTTCCCCCAGTTTGCACGAGTTAAGTGGGCTTCTTTCAAAAAAATTCACTAATTTTCTTAAAGAAATATTTTGAGGGGAAGTAAACAGAGAATGAGAAAAAGCTTGTCACAGAAAGAAAAATTCAGTGAAACCTAAAGAAAGCCCAACAGCTGAATCTACCACTTTTGCTATGGCAGGGTTTCCAAAGCAACAAACTTGTCAAACAAGTCACATTCACAAATTCACTGTTGGTAATGACAGGGGTCCAGCAATCTGAAATACCACTGTGCACAGGAGTGGGAAATACCTCAGAGCACCAACAGGTACTTTCTCCAGAGCGAGAGCGAGATCATTGTACTCAGAGTTCCAGTGATGAAACACTACTATTGACTGAATCCCAGACCAGTCTTAACACTAATATTATAATATTGCCACAGAAGTCAGTGGAGTGCAGCAACAGCATCAGCATCATATAGTAAAGAGGATATTTGGAACACAACATTAAGCTGCAGAACAACTAGAGGTACAGTCCAAAGAGGCAGTGTCAACTTTTGTTGTTATTTCTGGCTTAATTAGAAGCATTCACTTCTGAATCATAAGGCACCAGGTTCACAATCCTACTTCCAGGACTTGAGTATAAAAATCCTGCCTGATACTCTGGTGCAGTTCTCACTGCTAGAGGTGCCTTTTTTTTGCACAAGAAAAGATCAACTCCCCTTAGGCATAGAGTGCTGCCAACAAAAGCCAATTTGCCAATAAGTCTGACCTATGACAGGCCTCTAGCATTCTTTGCAAGACCATTGATTGTTTTGTTCCTCATTGATGGAAAGGAGGTATCACTTCCAGGACGGACCAGGATTTATTTGCCCAGTTGCCCTTCAAATGGTCAGCACCATGTTCTATTTTCAGATGCCACCATTGCCACAGAGTGCAGGGCCTACATTTATCAGTGGAAGATAGACAACTGGCAGGCCTAAACAGAAGAGGCACTTTTCTTAAGAAGTAGTTTATTGCATGATGGCAAAATGTACAGTTTATCTTACTAATTATAATTACTAAAAGAATCTAAAGAATTATGCAGGCAGAACTCGACTGTCTTCACCCAAAGATCATAATTACCAGATTGTGTGGAGCTCAATTTAACATTTAGAACTATTGTCTTAAAATCTGATGAAAACACAGACTGTCTCATTTCACCTCTAGTTCTCATGCCGGCTACCTTAGATGTGCCATGAAAAGTTTCTCTTTATTTAATCTTTAAAAACATTTCAAACTGTGCTTTCTCTGGTACTTTTCATCTAAACCTAACATCTTACCTAACACAAGGCACCCAGAATGAAAAATATTCCAGTTGCTTTTATACCCATTATTTCACACTTTGACTTTCATAATCTAAGGCTTGGAAATCCCTCCCTTAACCTCATTCTCTCCCCACATTAAAACATTATTTGCTTAAAGCTACCTGTGATCAAGTGGGCATCCAAACTCAATTCCTTGGAGGTTGATAGAGCAAAGTTTTGTCCAGTTAACATTTCTGTGAATCATCCTGGAACGTCACTACATGCAAAGCACTGCACAAATGCAAGTTACTGTACCAGAAACTAGTCCAGATTTTCCATGCTTTTAAAATAAAAGGAACCTGCAGGAATTTTTTTTTTCAGCGGGGCGTGCGTGGAAGTGAAACACAGCTACGATTCAAAACACAGGACACCAGGATGACACACCCCGATGCACCTCGGGACAGATGAGCACATTAAGAAGCTGCTATATAAATGCAGGCTGTTGTTGCAGCTCAGAGATCCCAGTTGTGACCATAGTCACAAATAAAAACCATTCTTTAAAGCAAGTAGAATTTTAAAAATATTTACCGGGTAGACAAAAAAAAATTTTAAAAATCAATAGAACAAAATTGAAATATTACACATCAAGAATAAGAACGAGGTTAAGAAGGTACACTTTGAAAACAAAAATCAATTAAAAGCCACAAGTTTAAAACATTTTTCATAAATCAATTGATTTTTTTGCTTGGAAGTGGCGACCCCGGGGGCGAAATAAAATACTTTCAAAGTTTAAGGAGCCATTCACGGAGACTGACAAAAAAAAAGAATAAAGTTGAAGAACGCGAGAACTAGTTAGAAGCGCATGATCTAAGATCAATCGATCGAGAGGAATTTAACCTGCCAAACCATACTCACGTTGTTTTCATCGTTGCAGTTTTTAATAATAACGGACAACCGGACAACGCTCCTACCACAGCCGCTGCAGCACTGCCTCCGCGCCGACACCAACCGCCGTCAATTCAAATCCCGCGCCTGTCCCATTGGCCCGGGCTCTCCCCGCCTCCCATTGGACAGGCTCCATCCTCCTGTCAATCAGGCTACCGGACAGGGACCCGCCCACGGGAGCAGTGCGCACGCGCACTTATTCCCTTCCCGGACATGGACTGCCCAAAGGGAGGGGTCAGCCAGGCCCATGCGCATCGCTGCGGCGTGCGTGAGGATAGTTCATGCGCACCTTATCGGCATGGGGTATTTGCGCACGCGCGCCGCCACGGCTTGAGGTTGGAGCGGGGGAGACGGCGAACGCGTACCGCCGCCGAGCGGGGGCAGTTGAAGCATGCGCACCGCTTCAGGGAGGGGAAGCTGGCGCATGCGTACTGCCGCAGCGAAAAGCTGGCGCGTGCGTATTCCTGGCTTTCTAGCAGGGGCACTGGGTCAATGGGTCAATGTCACTAGTGTCCAGGTTTATCATTAACTTAGAGCTCGTTTGGTTTCTCCATTGCTCCTCAGTTCACTAAACTATAGTTATGAACAATAGGACTGGAGGCCTGTGACCAGTAGTGTGCTGGGTCCACTGCTTTTTGTCATTTCTATAAATAATTGAATGTGAACATAGGAGGTATGGTTAGTGAGATTGAAGGTGTAGTGCACAGTGAAGGAGGTTATCTCAGAGTACAATGGGACCTTGATCAGATGGGCCAATGGGCTGAACAAATGAAATTTAATTTAGATAAATGTGAGGTGCTGCATTTTGGAAAGGCAAATCAGAGCAGTTAATGGTAAGGTCCTGGGGCGTGTTGCTGAACAAAGAGACCTTCGGGTGCAGGTTCATAGTTTCTTGAAAGTGGAGTCACAGTAGACAGGATGCTGAAAAAGGCGTTTGTTATGCCAATGCATTGAGTATAGGATTCAGGAGATCATGTTGTGGCTGTACAGGACATTGGTTAGGCCACTTTTGGAATACTGTGTGCAGTTCTGGTCTCCCTGCTGTAGGAAGGATGTGGTACAACTTGAAAGGGTTTGGAAAAGATTTACAAGCACATTTCCAGGGTTCGAGGGTTAGAGCCATAGGGAGAGGCTGAATAGGTTGGGGCTATTTTCCTTGGAGCATCAGAGGCTGAGGGGTGACCTTACAGAGGTTTATAAAATCATCAGGGGCATGGATAGGATGAATAGACAAGGTCTTTTCCCTGGGATCAGGGAGTCCAAAAGTAGAGGGCATAGGTTTAAGGTGAGGGGAAAAGATATAAAAGGGACCTAAGGGACAACTTCACACGGAGGGTGGTGCGTGTATGGAATGAACTACCAGAGGAAGTGGTGGAGGCTGGTACAATTACAACATTTAAAAGGCATCTGGATAGGTATATGAATAGGAAGGGTTTACAGGGATATGGGCCACATGCTTGCAAATAGGACTAGATTTATTTCGGATATCTGGTTGGCATGGACAAGTTGGACTGAAGGGTCTGGTTCCATGCTGTACAGCTTTGATTCTATGACTGTAAGTTCACGTCATCCTCTCCTTTTGCGTTATGCTGCAAAATCAAAAACTTATTTTTTGTTAGACACATGAGGCCATTCAGCCCCTTGAACCTATTCCACCAACCAATGTGTTTGTGGCTTGATCTGTGGCCTAACTCCATATATTGGCCTTTGGACCATATCCATTAATATTTTCGCTTACTGAAAGATTTGTTCATCTACAGGACAATAGCATTACTAGCTGGGTGATTGACCCATCCCTAGTTGCCCTTCAGAAGGTGGTGATGAGCTACCTTGTTGAACTACTGCAGTCCATGTGCTGGAGGTAGATCCACAATGCTGCAAGGGAGGGAATTCCAGGATTTTGGTCAAGTGACCCTGAAGGAAAGATAATATATTTCCAAGTCAGGATGATGAGAGACTTGGAAAACTTGCAACTGATGGTGTTCCTTTGTATCTGCTGTCTTTGTCTTTCCAGATGATAGCGGCTGTGGGTTTGGAAGGTGCTGCGAGAGGAACTTTGAAATTCTGCAGCGCATCTTATAGATTGTACACTCTACTAGCAACTGAGTGTCGGTGGTGGAGGGAGTGGATGTGGTGCCAATCAAGTGGGCTGCTTTGTCCTGGATACTGTTGAGCTTTATGAGTGTTATTGGAGCTGCATTCATCCAAGCAAGTGGGGAGTATTCCATCACACTCCTGACTTGTGCCTTGTAGATGGTGGACAGGGTTTGGGGAGTCAGGAGGTGAGTTACTCGTGGCAGTATTCATGGCCTCTGACCTGCTATTGTAGCCACACTTTATATGGACAGTCATCTTAGTTTCTGGTTAATGGTAATCCCAAGTATATTGATGGGGGAGATTCCATCATGATAATGTCATTTAAAGTTGGTTGGATTCTTTCCTGTCAGAGATGGTCACAGGCACTTGTGTTGCATTAATATTACTTGCCATTTATCAGCCCATGTCTTGCTATATTTGGACATGGACATATTCAGGAACTGAAGAGTCATGAAGGGTGCAAAACATTGTGCAATCCTTGGCAAACATGAATAGTCATCCTGTCAGTGGTTCCCACAATCCATGAAAAAAAGTGGAAAAATAAAAGCTATAATTTTTCTTTTACTCATTCACAGGATGTGTGAGCATCATTGGCTAGGCAATCATTCGTTGCCCATCCCTAACTACCAAGGGGGAAGTCAGGAGGTGAGTTACTCGTGGCAGTATTCGTAGCCTCTGAATGAGTAAAAGGGTTTTACCTAATGCCCCCGAGCCCCCCCCCCCCCCCCCCCCCCCCCACCAGAGAGAATTTGGAGATCACAGAGGTTCATAAAAAATGCTGATGTGCAATATATAGTAGTGACTTGCATGACTGCAAGTTCATAGACAATGGAGGGCTTTTTAAAGCGTAGTCACTGTTATAAAGTACGGAATGGAGCAACCAGTTTATGTACAGGAAGATCCTTCAGGCAGCAACGCAATGATTAGATATTGTAGTTTGTAATGAGGGAGAAACATTGTCCGGGGCATGACAGAAAACTTATTTGCTTCTGCAGTTGTTGGATGCTACAGGAGCTGGGATTCACTATGGAATAAGGATGCAATGGTGAAATAGATCTTAGTCAACATGCTATGAGAATCCTCCAGGGCAGCTGGGATTCTTACCATGGCACCAACAGATCGTGTACGATATTGGTTTAGTGATTCACTCTGCTCTACCAGCTGAGCAATTGAAGGATAGCCACAAAGTGCTTTGTAATATCAACCTGTTTGAACACTAAGACACACTTACGAACATTGAAATAGATATAGGCCATTCAGCCCCTGGAGCCTATTCCGTCATTCAAAGAGATCATTTCTGATCTGTGGCCCCACTCCTTATACCTGCCTTTGGCCTATAATATTTATGCTGAACAAAAATGTATCTATCTTGGGTTTAAAATTAATAACTGATCAGCATTCACTTCCATTGTGGAAGAGCGTTCCAAACATCCTTTGTGTGTAGAAGTGCTTCCTAACATCTCTCCTGAACGGTCTGGCCCTAATTCTATGTCCCCTGGTTCTAGAATCCCCAATCAGTGGAAATAGTTTATCTTTATCTACCCTGTCTTTCCACATTAATATCTTTGATCAAATCACCCCTAAACCTTCTAAACTCTAGAGAAAATAAGGCTAATTTGTATAAAAATTCGAAAGAATTGCGGATGATGAAAATGTGAAACAAAAACAGAAATTGCTGGAAAATTTCAGCAGGTCTGGCAGCACCAATGGAGAGAAATCAGAGTTAATGTTTCAGGTCCAGTGACCAGGCCTGAAGAAGGGATGCTGGACCTGAAGCGTTAATTGTGATTTCTCTCCACAGATACTACCAGACCTGAGATTTTTCAGCAATTTCTGTTTTGTTTACTTTGTATAATTTCTCTTCATAACTTAACCCCTGAAGTCCAGGTATCATTCTTGTAAACAGCCATTGCAGGTGGGATTTGAACCTAGATCTTCAAGCCCAGAGGCTGGTTCATTATGGCTGCACCCGGCTGAGGTAGTTTAATCTTAATTTGAAACTTGTCACTCGGACGCTTGCAAATTAAGAGTATAAACCATTTCTACTCACTAAGTTAAATAGTTGAGCTACATGTATTGAGGTTGGTTGGCTCGCCGAGCTGGTTTGTTGTTCCGCAGACGTTTCGTTACTGTGCTTGGTAACATCCTCAGTGCAGCCTCTGATGAAACATCGGTGTGTTTTCCTGTCTGGTTTTTAAACTCTGGATTGCCTCACTTCCGGGTTTCCTCCGTAGTGGAAAGTATATGGGGTCGAGTTCAATGTGTTTATTAATAGCATGCTTCGTGAAGTGCCATGCTT